TTGCAGGTGTTCGGGGATCTGCAAGCTGAGCACAACAGGATTTTCTTCGCAGGTAGAATCAGGTAGAAAAGATTTGGCCCAACCCTGGTGGATCTGCCTGGACACAAATAACCAGAGGCATCAGTGTCGTAAAGCTCATTGACTGGTGCTACTGAGAAACCGTTGCCAAAGAACTTGCAGTAGGACTGTGGTGCGGCGCAGTGCAAGTTGACGAGCAGCTGTTGGTGGCTGCTCCCCGGAAAACCAATAGTCCAAGAAGCCTCCTTCGGCCTCGCTCCGTGCTGAGGGTTTGTAAGGGTTGGTATTGGCCGGAAAGGATTCAGGTGGAGGTTACCCGATCTTCGCGCTTTTCCCATCTGAAGGCAACCAATGGTAATCAGCCTGCTGGACATGGCAGGCCTGCTTTTGTTTACATCCCCGTCTCCTGCAAGGGCTGGGGTCTGTCCGTGCACACAGACAAGGCGGAACCTTGCAGATGTTTAGGTCCTCGCGGCACGGCCGCTGGAGGTTGTTTGAAGATGTTGGCTCTCACTGTCTGGTGAGTGGTTTTATGGGCACTTGCTGGGGCAATGCGGCTCTGGCGTCTGAGGATGGTACATGTGCTGGCTGCTGAGTACGGGCCACCGAAAGAGACCTGTGGTAAGACAAGCGATGAAAGGAGCCGAACTCCTAAACTCTAGGACAGGCTAGCTCACGCGGACGCCACGCAGAGTATGTGTCACTATCTTCAGATGTTGGAGCCAAATTGCCTAGCCGTGTGACGTGTGATGTGGTGTTTGGATTCGGCCTCAAGCACTGGAAGGCCTACAACAACAAATCCGAATGAAAACTGTGGTCCTAAGACACGCGGAGCAGCTGCTTATACGTGGCACCGCGGGGGTCACATAGAGATAGAGGGCTTGCCAGCAAGGGAACTCTGTCTAGAGATAGCCCTGGCTCAGTGAGGAGATGAGGGCCTGGCTGCGCAGATGCAGCGGAATGGTTGTTCGGCCTCGCCTCCGCTGAGGGAACAACAGTCAATGCTTCTCTGCAGTGTCGGTCCGGGTTAGTAAGAGCGAGAACGCCGTGACCTCGAGCTGCAGTTTTACCATGAAGCAACCGCGTGAGATGCATTATTGGTCAACTGGTGAGTAAGAGCGAGAAAGCCAGGGTGACGCTACTTTGGGGGAGACTGCAAGGCACGGTTAGTAAGTGCGAGAAAGCCGGAGCTGCGGACGAACCTGGAGTAGCATTCTTTCATACCTCACGTGTTTCACTTTGCGGCCTCGCATGCGTTGAGGGAATGTGCCTCGAACAGAACATCCAGTGCTGAGTGGGGATTGCCAAACTGACGGAGGCTGATGCCACAACAAGTGCCTCAACAGCAATGCATGCGGAGGGCAAAGTTCGGCCTCGCGAGTGCTGAGGGTTGCAGCTGAGAGAGGGCCTAGGTGAGAACGCAACACCTCAAGCGAGGTAATTTTTAGTTTAGTTTCACCTTGACCAACGGCCCCTTCGGGTGGCTACGCCTCGCAGCGTGCAGAAGTAAAATTCACCGCCAGGGTGACGCTACTTTGGGGGAGGCTGCAAGGCACGGTTAGTAAGTGCGAGAAAGCCGGAGCTGCGGACGAACCTGGAGTAGCAGTTTTTCATACCTCACGTGTTTCACTTTGCGGCCTCGCATGCGCTGAGGAAATATGCCTCAAACAGAACATCCAGTGCTGAGTGGGGATTGCCAAACTTACGGAGGCTGATGCCACAACAAGTGCCTCAACAGCAATGCATGCGGAGGGCAAAGTTCGGCCTCGCGAGTGCTGAGGGTTGCAGCTGAGAGAGGGCCTAGCTGAGAACGCAACACCTCAAGCGAGGTAATTTTTAGTTTAGTTTCACCTTGACCAACGGCCCCTTCGGGTGGCTACGCCTCGCAGCGTGCAGACGGTAAAATTCACCCCTGGCTCAAGTCTCGGCTCAACCCCGGTGGGGTGCGCAGGTAGTGAGCTGTTCGGTGGCCTGGAGGCTGTACCTAAGGGTGGGCTCCAACAGGACTCAAACCGAAACCACTGTGTTTGCTCGGTAGTTCTGCCAGCCACATAGCTGCCTGTGTACGGCCTCGCCGAGTGCTGAGGGAACTTTCGACCTCGCTGCTGAGGGTGTTGTCGGCCTCGCATAAAGCTGAGGATTGTGGAACGTCTTCGGCCTCGCTCGGAGGGACAACATAGTTCGGCCTCACCACGGTTGAGGTAAACACCTCCTGGAACTGAGGTGCAAGAAGATAGCAGACCTGTGCGAGCGAAGAGGGTTCCGAGGCCTTAACTTCCTTTGTTGGAACAGGGCCCCGTCTCAACCGCAGATTTCCGCTCGTGGGCTATCGGCGACCAGAGTGGCCGTCCACAGTGCCCTGGACAGTGTGCCACACGCCAAAGAGACTTGCTGCAAGGCAGACGGAGAGCGACGGACCATGCCGGCAATTGGGTGCTGTGTATTTGCATGGTCACACCAGGGGCGTCGTGAAGGGCTTTTCCTGGAACTGTCGCAGTCATATCGTATCCACTTTGTCCGTCGCACCAGGAGAGGCAACATAGCCTGGGGCAGCTGTGGGAATTGGAATGTCCAAAGAAGCCTGAATGCAGCTAACCTCCACCTGCAGCTCCGGGATTTCCGATGCTGTGAGGATGCGAGGCTTTGGAACATCGATTTCTATGTCGATCCCACAAACCCATCCCTGATGATTGATGGCAGCGGACGTGACATCAGGTACCTGGGTAGGCTGGTGATTATGGTGTATGGCCCTGATGTGTCGAGAAGGATGCTGGCCTTGTCGGAAGATGATGAGGAATGGATGCTCCTTTGAGGTGATGAAACGTCGCCGGCCAGTAACCAGGCAAGTGGAAGTGGATTGAATTGCGAGCACAGCCTCGCCATGAAGGGCCATGTGAGGGCAAACCCGAATGCAGGCTTAGCTTGCCGGAATGAGGGTGATCAACATACCCTCGCAGCACAATGCTTTCAGAACCCGTGAAACCAGCGGAGATGCCATGTGAGGCTATGCAAGGGCAGTTTCGGCCTCGCTATGCTGGAGTAAAGGTTCGGCCTCGCCTCGGCTGAGGGAATGGATGGTTCGGCCTCGCCAAGGCTGAGGGAACAACAGAAGGGTTGCGAAAACGCCTCGCTGATGAAGAAGGTGCATGATGTTCCGGCCTCGCATCAGCTGAGGGAAGAATGATGGAATGGGCAGGCCGGGCACTTATTGGTCTGCCGGAATTGAGTCTGGGAGACTCTGGAAGCACTGCAACGGCTGATGCTACTGGGCGCAAAGCGGTAAAGCAGCTTGAAGCATAGACTCCGCGGTGCCGGTGTGTCGGAGCAATTGATAGGTACAACCGCAGCCCAGCAGTGCTCAATCAAACAATGCAACATTCGGCCTCGACTTTGGTCTGAGGGAATGTGAGCTATAAAGAGCAAACTCCGAATATGGATGAGGGACACTGGCCAGGCATGGAGGCCAGCAAAGGGCAGGTACCAGCATTGCACTGGAGAAGCCTCGAGTCCCAATGGCAGTGAACTTTGTGGTGAGGAATACGTCGACTGGTAAGTAAGTGCGAGAAAGCCAGGGCGATTCTGGGGAGAACAGCAAGGCACGGTTAGTAAGTGCGAGAACACCGGAGCTGCTGAGAACCCTGGATTAGCCGGGACGTACTCCGTGGAGGATTCGTTGTCACTGCTTTCAGAAATGCCCACAAGGACCAAGCATGCAGCTAACCCGTGGTCGCAGAGTGGGCCTCACTTCGGTTGAGGGTAATCGACTCCCAAGTGAGAGTATGGAGTTTTGGTGGCAAACAAGAGAGCCAGCCGACTGTCTTTGGAACAATGGCTACGGCTGGTTGGAGAATGTCAAGTCTCACAATGGATAGCGGCCTCGTACATAATATCCTCACAGGCAGGGTGGGTTTGACCTGGTAGTCGGCACCTTGCCCGGCCCCCTGTCAGGCGCCTGTACCGGCCACCTGTTGAAGGTGTGGCGTGGGGTCACCGGTGCGTAGCGGCGATTTCGGTCGCTTAGCGTCCTCCAGCCTAAAAAGGGGTATGTTTGGGCAGGTACTTCACCTGTTCCTCCTGCTTGGCTCGTGTGGGAGATGTGTGAATCGAGGGCATGGATCCGTCAAGGTGAGATGACGAGAAAGTGCAGAATTGGGCCTCAATCAATATGGAACGGTCTATGGGGATTGACCACCCCGATGGTAGAGGGATAGCGGCCTCTGAGAATCGGAGGGCATGGATCACCTCCCGGCAAAAGCCACAGGAAGTATGCCCTGTGCATGCAAGAGGCAGCCACCGTAACCAGAGTCCATGAAGCCTCGGGCCATGACCTGGTGTGAAGACATGTCCGGCCTCACTACGGTTGAGGGGTGTGGATGGAAGCACTCAGGACATGCAATGAGACTCGTAGAACGAGCATCTGGGTCTACAGGAATTGACCTCCATTCGGTTGAGGGATAGCGGCCTCCACGAACGAGGGCATGGAACACCTCCCGAATAGACAACACAGAGAATGTGCAAGCATACAGGCAATTTGCCTTGGCCAAAGTCTTCAAGCCAATGGCAACGACTTGGTCAAAACGACATTCCGGCCTCACTTCGGTTGAGGGTAGCGGTACGTCAAAACCGAGGACAAGGAATGAGAGGGGGAACTTACCGGCAGTTTCACCCCACAGTTTTAGTAAGCTTTTGTTTCACTTGAACCCACAGCCCCTTCGGGTGGCTACGCCTCGCAGCGTGCAGACGTAAAATTCACCCCCCCCCTGGCTCAAGTTTTTTGCTCAAGGCATTTTGCCAAGCTTCGTAGCCGGTGCGAGTTGTTAGCGGTTTTCTTTGGGCTGGGGGTGCTGGTTTTCAACAGCTCTGGGGACCCAAACCTTTGTCCTGCTTACGAGCCATAGCCTGTGTGGAGGTGGTTGCCACTCCTTTTGTTCTCTGCCGGTGGGTGGGGACCACTCCAGCAGTTTAAGGCTTTCCGTGCCGGCATGACTCGCCAGTATACTGTCTGTTCAAGTTGCAGGTCCTGGATCTGGACGGACAGAGTGCAGAAGACTCCAAAGTGCAAGTGTGGGAAGCAGTGGCCAGCTGCGAAGCAATGGCCATCGGTGTGGGACTCAGCTTCCTGGAAGCCTGAGAAGAAGCCGAAGGCCTCAAGGCCGCCGTCGAAAGTGTTGAAGGCCCTAGATGAGCTCTGGGGGCAGATACCGTCGGAGGCGCAGCTGGCGCTTCAAAAGGCAGGCTTCCAGAAGAAGCAGAAGGAAGAGGTTACCTCTCCTGAGGATCCTTTGGTTGCCCTGCTTGAGAACCACAAGGACCGGCTTCCTGAGGAGGTCAAAGCAGCGTTGAATGAGCGACAGGAAGGCCTGAAGCCGACAGCTAAAGAGCAAGCTACCAATGCAACGAACGACCTCAAGCTAGCATCGAGCAAGTTGCGTGAGCTGGGACACCGCAAGATCCAGCTGCAGACGAAGATCGATGCTACGAAAAGCACGCTGGCGGGTTTGTACGAAGACATGAAGCTCCTCCTTGCTGAGCTTGTGGAGGCAGAGAAGAAATCATCAGAGCTCACAAAGGCTTTCCATGAGACGGTTCTGCAGGTACCGACAGAACAAGCTGTTCCGGAATTGGACCTGCGAGAAGTCATGAAGACCTTGGGAGTCGATCTCAGTGAGGAGCAAAACAAGCGATTGCACGAGCTTCAGGCTGAGCATGGCGCAAAGAAGCGGAAGTTTGCGCAGGAAGCCCTGGCGGCAGCAGGATTGCCACCGGGATTGAGCGACTCATCCCAGGGACAGGGTCTCCCGTCCCAGCAAGGCCTTGCAGGTGCACCACAGCAAATGCAGGAGTGGTAGCAGGTCGGGGTTCTGGTGGGAATTAGGGCCAGGAGTTTGGGGTGGGTTGTCCCTGCCTCAAGAATCTGGTCTTTTACAGCCTGGAAGCAGTGATATTTTCCAACATGAGGGCTTTCCTCAGTGCCAGTTTTGCCATGATTTTTTCAAGCCTGCCGAGAACACTGTGCTTGTTTTAGGTCAGCCGGTTTCGAGGGCTGCCTGTTTGGAGTGCAGTGTGTTTAGGGCTGTTTTGTGTGAGTTCCCCGTCCATGCCCAGCTTTGTTCCTGGCAGGTTGTCCACAAAGGTTTTCGTGCCATTGGAATGAAAGGTGGGTTGCCTAGGGGTCAGGTTTTGCTTTCGGGCCCCAAGTTTTTTCCTAAGCTTGAGGTCCTTCAAGATGACAGTTTGGTGAAGGAGCCCATCCCGCGGTATGATTTTGCCCGGGTCCGAAATCAATCGGGGAGGCATCTTGTGTCAGCCAGTTTAGTAGGCTCTGCGTGCAAAAGTCGAAGAACCAGGAGACGGCGTGGGCGAAAGTCAAAAACCAACACCATAAGTCCAAGTGAGGGTGGAAGCAAATCTAGGGATGAGGGTTCCTCTCCCAGTCCACACATACCCCCAAACCCCACTCAGGATGAGGTCGCCTCTCCTTTATCGGTTAGGCGCGCCTTTCGACATCCTTCGGGGCCTTGGGGTTTGGGTGCTGCAGGGTTTCAAGGGGAGACGGAAGAAACTCCAAGTTTCGTTCGCCTTTTGCATCTTCTGCTTTCCCAACTGGGGTCGGGTAGCAATCGGGAGGTCGTTGAGGAAACCATTCTTTCTCTTGCTGAACATGCTGAGACCCATTTTCACACAAACACCGCCGAATACATGCTTGCAAAAGAATGGCTCGCATGGGCCTCTGGCCCGGAGGCGGTTTTGGATACCCGCACCCTGTGCACCCTGTCGGCAGGATTAGAGGAGCGAGCCCCTCAATCCAAGGAGCGCCTGCATTTGGTGACTGCCAATGTCACTTCGTGGAGAAAGGAGGTCCTTCAATGGCACATGCAACAGCCGGATACACTCCTGTTGGTCCAAGAGACTCACCTTGACGAAGAAGGTCAAAAGAGTTTCAGGGCAACAGCGGTTCAGGCTGGTCTGCACGCTTTTGGGGGATTAGGTGGCCCTTCCAACCCTCGCCCCAAAGGCGGAGTCGCGATCCTCATGCCTCGCAAAGAGCACGGTAGAATGGTCCAGCATTTCAACCAAGAAGGGTGTGGCTTCGTCATGGTCGAGTTGCCTAAAGTTAAGTGTTCCCTTTGGGTGGTCTCCATTTATCTCCAGTGCTCTACGGGGCTCCAGAGATCCCCAAATTCCGACATCTTGGCCCAGTTGGCTGCCCAGCTCCAAGGATGTAGGAACTGGATAATCGGGGGGGGACTGGAACATTAACTTGGATGAGATTGAGGAGACCTCTCTCACCAAGGCCTTTAAAGGTGTGATAGTCTCCAGCAGGAAACCAACCTGCGACACCGGTTCAGTTCTTGATTTTTTCATGGTTTCCCGGACCTTGGGGCCTTTTGTTAGCACTTGGCAGCGTTGGGATGTTCCGTTCAGGCCTCATTGTGCAGTTCACCTATCTGTTGAAGTGGGGATGAGCTTGCTGCCCTTCCCTCAGCTGAGAGGGTTTACTGGCTCGGTGCATGGCAGACAAGGTCTACCTGACTCCATCCTTCCCGCCCCGGTAACACATTCCTTACCGGGGCGGCTCAAGAGCACACCCGCCCCGTCGGTGCCCAGCGCATCTGTGGAGGTAGGTTCTGGAGGTCCATCTGGTTCCATCAGCCCCGCCCCGGTAGCCCCGGTTGCGCCCTCCTTATCGGGGGGCCTCCAAGACCCTCTTGCGTTCCCGCCCCGGTATGCCGGCCTTTACCGGGGTACCGTACGGACCACATGAACCCTCGTAATTGCAAACCGGCCCGCATAGGAGACCTGGACTTGTGCCAAGATAATCTCACAACCGCTTTTGCGCAGTTCTCTTTGGAAGCCGAAAACGAGGTTCTTGCAACGAACACTGGGCGAGGGTACTCAAACCCCACCGTCATGAAGCCTCACACCACTCCCCCTCTACCTAGAGAGTGGCATGGGCAGGGTGCCAGCTTGTGGGGTAGAGTCGCAAAGTGCCTCAAAGCCGGGTCCGTTCCTCCTTTGCGCCTCTTGCATTCTGTTGAGGGTTTTTGGGCAGATGAGGAGCATAGCTTCGGTGCTTGGAGAAAGGAAGTGGAGACCACTCCTGTCAATGATCTCAGTGCATCACTCAAAGCAGCCCAGCAGCAGCAACACCACTGGGAACGATCTAGCCGCCAGGCTTCTAAAGAATCGTACTTTTGAAATGGCTCACCAAAGGCACTGAAAAGGGTATGAAACCCTTATTCAATGCACTCAAGTCCCATGAGCAAGTCGTGGTCAGGCCTCATGCTGAAGTTGACGCAAGGGCCAGGATTCTGTGCCGAGTCCTCCAGTGGGTTCCGATTTGGTCGGCTTCTGGTAGTCCCACGTGTTCCCCTGCGGCGCTTGTTGAGCTGGCCAAACAACAGGCCACTCAATACCCCCAGTTGGAAGGAAGCCAACTCTTTGCTTTCTTTAAGAAGATGTCTGTGAAAGCCCCAGGGCCTGATGGTTGGGACATCCCTTTCATAAAGAAGCTCGAGCCCCAACATTGTGATAGCCTAGTGGAACTTTTTACCATGATGGAAAGGGAAGCTGCCCTTCCTCACCAAATGCAATTCAGCTTGGTGGTCCTCTTGCCCAAAAACGAGACCATCGAAAGACCCATAGCTTTGATGCATTGCCTGCTCAAGGCCTATTTGAAAATGCGATGGCCTTTGATCTCCCAATGGTTGGAGGATGTCGACCGCCAGCTCTGGTGGGATTCTGCAAAAAAGGGGACAAGTACTTTAGATGTCAGCCTCAAAAGGATGGTGGCTTTTGAGGGCAGTCGCTGCAACAACCGCCATCGTGTGACTCTTTTTGTTGACTTAACGACATTTTACGAAGGAGTTCCCCATGAGGACCTGATAAGAAAGGCGCTGGCAATGAACTTTCCAGCGCCGTTGTTAAATTTTGTTCTGCAGGCTTATAAAGGACCCAGACTCATCCAGTGTGAGGAAGGGGTGAGCCCTGTCCTTTTTGCGTCAAAGGGCATACAGGCGGGATGCCCTTTGGGGCCCATTCTGGCCAAAGTAGCGCTTGCAGACCCTTGCGAAGAGGCCCTCTCAGGCTCCAGCGCCAAAGACACCAGTGTCTGGATAGATGACATTGCAGTCGATGCTGAAGAGCTCAATCCAGGCCTGGCAGCCCGCAACATCCTTGCACTGAGCAAACGACTCTTCGCAGCGCTTAGACAACGCGGGCACACGCCGTCGGCAAGCAAAACATACTTTCTGGCCTCTTCCAAAGAGGCGGAACAAAGCCTTAAACGCATCCGCGCAGAATCGGACCCTCCGGTGAGTTCCTTAGGCCGGGACTTAGGCATCACCACAGCGGGGGCGCGACGTAGAACCACTAAGGGCGCAATGTCTCGATTCAAAAAGGGAGGCAAAAGGCTTCAGCGGCTGCATCGATTGCAGGTACCACAGGCCAGACAGCGCGCCAGGCTTTTCTCGGCCAGTGTTCTCACCAGCGGCCTTTGGGGACATCAGGGTCAGGGAGTCTCCCCAAAGAACCTCAAGATGGTGAGGTTTCAGGCCGCGGTTCTTAACAACAAGCACAAGCTAGGTAGTGTAGACATCACCCTGGACCTTCAAGAGCATGTCAAGGATCCCATGGAAGGCATCATTGTCCAACATTGGAGAGCCATGTCCAAGCTTGTCCGCAACGATCTCCCTTGGTTTGTGCGCACGTGGGATGTTCTCAGTTCCGGGCTGCAGGGCCAACACAGATGGAAAAAGGTGGCAGGCCCGACTGCGGCCCTCATTGCTTACCTCAAAGACCTTAACGTAGAAGCGTCAAATGTCACCACCTGGATTTTTCCCAAAAGCGGATATTTTGGCTCGGGTTGCCCAGCCAAAGTTAGCTTAGGAGGCCCCTTTCAACTTTATGAGGTCGAGGATGCACTAAAAGGGGCTATTAAAGCATGTCGTTGGGATAGGATTTCCAAACAAGACTCGTGTGAAAGTCTGAAGGCTGGTATTGACTGGACAGTGCAGAGATCCCTTTGTAAGGACTTTCGCAGCCAAGCGAACAAACTTACTGCCCTCAGAGCAGTTTGGCAAGGGGCGGTTCTTACTTCAAGCAAAGGATCTCGCTCACATTGCCCCCTTTGTCATGTCCCGGGCAGTCTTGAACATGTTCTCCATGACTGTAAGTGGTGGCAACATAGGTTCCCGAAACCTGGCAAATCTTGGGATTCCAAGCGCAAGGATTTCCCCTGGGCCTCCCTTTGGAATAGAGGCTTAGTCCCTGCTGCAGTCACCCAGCACCCGCCCTATCCTTTTGGTCCGGAATCAATAGAAGCCACAGGGATTTGGGTTGACCCATCCCAAATCACTTCTGAGGTTTTCTTTTCCACAGATGCATCGGGGGGGCCAAAGGGTAATGACCCTAGGCTCCGCATTGTATCCTGGGCTGTGGTGGCGTTTACGGTTAAGGATCAGAGCATTGAAGAGCTAGGTCATCTCTCGGGAACTTTGGCTCCTGGAACAAGTGTTTTTCAGGGTGAAGCGCACGCTGTTTCCGAACTTCTCACCAGGTTCCCAGGTGCATGCGACAACACCATGGATTGCAAGGGAATTTTCAAGCTCCTGCAAAAACCTACTTTTCACAGGTCGTGCTGGCCGGGTCTGTCTGAGGGTTGGGAGCATAGGAGAAGGGTCAGCTGTTTTTGGGTCAATTCCCACCTGGATGAAAAATCATTTGGCGACAAATTTGGTCAGTCCAATGAGTGGCGCAGAAAGGCCAACCAAGCAGCGGACAGGGTGTGCGGTGAAAAGTCTGCCAGGGTTTTCAGCCACAGTCATGCCCGTTTTGTCTCCAGCCTTGATTCCTTGACTAGAGAAGTTAACTTGTTCCTTGCCGATAGGGCCTGGACCCTTCTCACTTCTGAGGACAGACCCCCTCTAGCCGAAGTGACCAGGTTTGCGAAAAAGGCCACCAAAGGAGTGGGAAGAACCCATCCTAAGACCAAAAAAGCCCAGCAACAAAACAGACCTGCTGCAGATGGGGGGCTCAATAAAAAGCAGCGACTCCAAAATATGGTGGATTCACCCCAAGGAGGCCATGTGTGGAAATGGAGTTCCAAGCACCATACGAATGCCTCTATTGTCTGCAGTATTTGTTCGCTTTACATTGAACAGTGTCATGACCTTGACAAGTTTCGTCGCCTGGAGTCCCAGGCTTGCGAGCATCAGCCGAGTCCCTGGCCCTCGGAGTGGATTTGCCATGCCTCACATCGGCCCCACAACCTAGGCAATGTTTGGTTATGCAAGGCTTGTCATGCTGTTCAAAAGTCAGGAGCTGCGAGTACTTCCCGTAAGTTCCAAGAACCCTGTAAGTACGTCCCCAGCAAGGTCAGTAAGTATGCTTCCCGTTTACCTCAACCAAACCGGCAGCCGTTCTTCTCAGCAGTACCTCACCATGGGGGGGCAGGGAAAAGGCAAGGGGTACGGTCGCTCAGTGCACCGGAACGACCCCCAGCAGGAGGAGCGATGGCAGGAACTGGACGCGAAGCGGTGGGACAACTGGCAGTCACGAACGTCCCGATCAACAGCGGTGCGCAACCGCGACAGGCCCAACAAGGCCGAAAGGGAGCTCACAAAGCGGACAGCGCGGGTCAAAGCAAAGCCCGCTCAAAGTCCTCGTCAGCCACCGCCTCCTCCTCCAAGCCGGCGGAGAAAGGAGGCATCCGCGCCTTCTTTGGGACAAGCGCAGGCAAAAGAGGAGTGGGAGGCCCTTCCTCAGGAACCCAGCAGTAGCAGCTCAGAGGACCGGGATTGGGAGACCCGCCCGAGTCAACCTGCTGAGAGTTCCAATAGATGAGGTTACCTCTCCCAAGAGCGTCAAGTCCGAGCTCTCCTCAGATTCCTCAAGCGTGGAAATCCTGGACTCGGAGCTCACACCATGGGACCGCAGAGTTTTCCTTAAGGGGGTGCAGCAGGTCATGCTAGAGCATGCCCCTGTGCACCTTGTTTCAGCCTCTATCCCAAACATCAAGGCGCCCTTCAGGCCTGAGTACTACTTGCACAAAGAAGTTCTTCTCCTTCGCCACCCCCTTCTCAAGCAGTGGCAGGAAACAACTGTGCAGCGTGCTGGCAAACCTGGGCAGCATCGTATTGCCTTTGACCTGGGCGAGCATGTCCTCAAGATAGGGGAGCATGGTGATGAGGCGGAGTTCTGCAGGTGGTTCCCAGGGCTTACGGCCCGTGTGCTCTGGGCAGGGCCTGTCCGTGTTGCGTTCACTGGCAAGCCTCCCCCCTGCGGGGAAGAAACAGTCCTGCAAGGTGAGATCCAGGAGAAAGTCGAGCTTGCAGTGCCCTGGCTAGAGATGCAAGGGGTAAACTCTTCTGGAGCTTGGCAATGGCTGGTTTACACTTTGGTGGCTCTCATGTGGCTTGAATGGCATGGAGTT